CATTCCACGATTCTGGGACTGAACAGGTTTCATCCATAATGGAAGAACAAATTGCTAAATGTTTTTTCTCTGTGTTTTTAAACTTGATTAAGTTTGAGGGTTTATAATGGATTCCACGACTCCGGTGTCACTTTATATCCAGGACTAGGGAATATTAAGTGTGTAATACAGGGCTTGGCTCCAGGATTGCATCCATCTCCACTCAGAGTGTGTGAGGATGTGAAACACCAATTAAAGGTTTTAATTGATAGAATAAAGCTTATTCAGAGCTCAGCTCTCTTTTAGAACCTCACTGGGGTGCAAAATAGGAATTAATTCAGCTGTTGCCGTGGCCGGGTGTGTTTTCCTGCCCGCGCTTTGCTCACAGGTCAGTCTTGGGCATGATGAGAACTTATCCAGCTTGTTGTGGAGCTCAGCCAGAGCAGGAAAAGGTGGGTCTGGAGAGTCACAGAAGCAAAATGTGGTCTTGCCCCAATGTTGCAGTTCAGGAGGACTTTGAGAGTTATCAACTCGAGGTGATGGACAGGCCGCACGTGCCGACGTGACCTTTTGGAACCTGAGGGTTTAATTAAGCCTCCAAACCCAGAAATATTGCTTTTCCAATAAAACACTGGATATTCATTTTCCCTCCCAAAGAGCAGCCTTTGGGGGAAGGAGCTCTTTGTCCCGTTTCGTGGCCAGGTTGGTTGGTTTGACCGATGTAAACACGCCCCACGGACGGCAGGATCCGACCGCGGAGCCGAACTCCGGCTCCTCGCTGGAGATGGATGGGGTGTTGCAAACTTTGCAGTCACTCATAAATCTTGCTGGAAGCCCCTGTGATTAATGCCTAACGAGGTTTTTGACTGTTGGCTTAGCAACTCCTAATCAGGTGTTACGGGACCAAGTCAAGGAATTCCCTGACTTGGCTGGTCAAGGGGAGCTCCTTTTGCTTACACAGGCAAGAAGTGCCTGGTTTTTCTCTTCTTTTAAGTGTTGATTTGGGTTTGTTTTTTTTTTTGATTATCTGGTTTTCCTTTCCTTTTAAATGCATTTCAAGTTCTGCCTTGCTGTGGTTTTTAATAAGTACACGGCCAGACCACAACTTCCAACACTGGAATATGATCCTTATTAAAACCCTCTTCTCTGGATAACTTGGGCTGTCCAGACACAGGGAATAAATTGAGGGTGATGACACTGATTGAACACCAGGAATGGCTCAGCCCAGTGAGAGAAAGGGAAACTTCAGGCTGGTTTTTGCAGCTGGTTGCTGGCAGGGTTTGCACACTGGGCCCCGTGTTGATGGTGCTGGAAAATTAGAAGGGTTTTAATGTTTGTGCTGCAGTTACGAGGCAAATGTGCTGAGTGTTGAATCCCAGAATGGTTTGGGATGGAAGGGACCTTAAAGATCATCCAGTGCCACC